GTGAAGCCAGAAAGAGAAAGAAAAATACCGTATGATATCACTCATATGTGGAATCTACAAAAAAAAAAAAAAAAGAAAGAAAGAAAAAAAAGGGGACACTATGAACTCATCTACAAAACAGAAACAGACTCCCAGACATAGTAAACAATTTTATGGTTACCAGGGGAAAGGGGGTGGGAAGGGATAAATTTGGGGATTTGAGATTTGCAAAGATTAACCACTATATATATAAAAATAGATTAAAAAAATTTCTTCTGTATAGCACAGAGAACTATATTCAATATTGTATAGTAAACTACAATGAAAAAGAATATAAAAACAAATATATGTGTACACATATGACTGAAACATTATGCTGTACACCAGAAATTGACACATTGTAACTGACTACACTATAAATCAACTACACTTCAATTTAAAAAGTGATGAAAAAAGATGACATCATTGGAATGGGCTGTAATCCAATATGACTAGTGTCCTTATAAAAAGGAGAAATTTGAACAGAGACATGCACACAAGAACACCATGTGAATATAAAAGTAGAGATCAGATAATGCTTTTTTTACAAGCCAGGAAATGCCAGAGGTTGCCAGTAAACCACCAGAAGTAAGGTGAGAGATTCTCTCTCACTTCCTCAGAAGGAACCAACCTTCTTGACACTTTCATCATGGACTTGTGGCTTCTACAACTGTAAGACAATGAATTTCCGATGTTTAAGTCAACCAACTTGTGGTGCTTTGTTACAGCAGCACATACGACCCCATCTCTCATCCCACAGCCAGTGGCTAAATCCCATCCAGTTATTCTCCAAAACATCTTCTAAATTCAGCTGCTACTCTGTTTCCACTGCCTCTGTGTATGCTAGGTAATTGGGTGACTATGAAAGAAGATAGAAAGGAACATAATTGGCCAAATGGAGCCAGGATACGTTGAGGCTGGTGAAAGAGAGAGAGGGTTTAGGATTTTAAGAGGGTGTAGCCATGGTGGGCTGGCAGGCAGAGGAGGAGGGCGGCGCACCTTGCTGTCGGTAAGATGAACACCAGCTTAACGGGTTGGGAGATGCTAAGACCACAGAGGCTACATCCAATGTGGGGCTGGCTAGAGGCCAGGACCCCCCTGGGTCTGGAGATGTGTGTTGGGGGGTGAGTGAAGGTCTTGGGGAGCACCTCTGTGGCTGGGTCTCCCTCTGCCTGGATGCCGGTGCACATCCCCGAGGCACCAGTTTTGTGAGGCTGTAGAGGGTGCTCCTTTTCCAACTGCCAACCAAACAGGCAGGTTTGCTGACGAGCATTCAGGTTCCAGTCCAAGAGCCGAGCAGGCACTTGGCATTGCCCAGCACTAGCTCCAGCTCTGCCAGGAGACGGGAGGCTTCACGGTAGCTCTTGGGGTCGGATTATAAACTTTGGGATCAAACAGTGAAGGACCTGGAATAGAACACTCCTTGGACCCTGGCAGGACTCTGAGCAGCTGTGTTTGTCTTTCTTTGTCCCCAGCTCCTCCCCTCGCCTCTTGCCCATCAATTTCTCCTTTTTATTGACTCCCTGCCCTTTCTGCCTCCTGCGGCCCCCAGGTCCTCACTCTTCCCTCACCCCATTCACCCCGGCTACTAGCACCTTCCTCCTCCACTCTTTCCTTCCCTCTCGGCACCCCTTCCTTCCCTCCTCCCCAGTGTCCCCCCTCGCTGCCCCCTTTTCCTTCTCCTTACCGCCCCGCCTTCTCCCTCCTTTCCCCCCTCTCCCTACCTCATCCTCCTCGTCCTTCCACCTTCCTCCTCGCTCCT